GAGTCAAGGAGCGGGATGTGGGGAGATAGGGCAAAGAAGCTGAGAGAAAGGAAAGGGTATGTGCGTGTGCCCAAGTGTACTTGTTACAAGGCAGGGTGAGAGAGGGGCACCCCTGAATCCTAAACCTGCCTGTTCTAAATAGCTTCTGCCATCTGCTGCATCAAGACAAAACATATAAGACTTTGATGAAAAAGGAACTTTAATACAGTGAGAAGACAAAGAATATATTTTCTAAATCAGACACCTGAAGTTACCTATCCCCTTGTGGGTAAAAGTCCACCAAAAAGGAATTGGCCTAAAGCAAGGCCAGAAAGCCCGCCACAAGCCTAAAGCACCTTCTGGCTGGGACCCATAGAAAAGGGTCAGAAATGGCCAGAAAAGTCTGGGAGGAAAAGAACAAAATCAAAATCAAGATAAACGCTGCCATAGTCAACCTCCCCACGGGTCTCTCACTCACATCTGTTTCAACCAGTCCAGGGCCAAGAAACAAGCACGGTTTCTGTATCACATGCTTGCTGTTCTTTGTGGCTTCCTCAGGTCTCCTTCTGACTCTTCATCCTGCTTCCATCCTCCTAAGATTCCTTCTCTTTTTTCTCTTCTTAACCCCACCCTACCTCTGGGTGGGGCAGGGAATCTGGAACTTCCCCTTTTCCTAGGGACCACCCAGTTACATACTGACTGGGAGAGGGTGGACATGAGGGTTGCTGAGAAATTGACAAATTTGCTCAAACCATACTTTAGCTATAACCAGTACTAGTCTTACTTTGCCTCTTGCTCCATAATTGAGCATTGCCACCCAGAGAATGTGATCACACTTGCGGCACTAGCTGTGACAAGTGGTTTTAGATATAGCTGTTTCTTGTTCATCAGGAGCTGCTGATTCGTGCCTCTCAGCCCCCAAGCCAAAACCTGAATTCCTGGGCTGGGTAGAATCATGAACTCTGTGGAGTCTGTTATTAATAAAAACTGGTTGGTCTTGGAGTGGGGGTTATCCCTGAAGAACGCTAGCTAGGATCTAAATGATCATTGAGTGGAAACCAGTTTGCTGTTGTGTGGATGGAGTCTGCGCAATGTTGGTTAACACTTCCCAGAATTCCAGGGACTGCTTCTATTTTGGGGCTGAGGATCCAGACCCCCCTCTTCTTCTTGGAAAAGCACAGGCCCCTCTTAGACCAACAGGCCATGGCCTGGCTCCTTGGACTCTGGGGGTAGGGAGCTAGCCTCTTGACAACCTGTGCTTTGAGGGCCAGTCCAAGGCTCAGGATAGCATGAGAGAGGTGGGAAAGTTCTAGAATGTAGGATGTTATAGGCTTCTCTACTTGATTCTTCTATAGCCCTGGCTATGAACCAGGTTGGTGCAGACCCAGCTTCCTGTCAGTGTGTGTGTCAGACATCAGATGTCTTCTGTGACCACTCTTTTGGCACATCATGCCTTTCTCTAACCTACATGCTCCTTTCCAACAAAAGATATTAATCAGTGTGAATTCTGCCCCAGGTCCAAAGTGACTCTTCTGCCGTTTTCTTCCTCTAGGCACTGGCCTGATGTGCTGAATGACCTTTCTCTCCTATGTACCGTGTGAAGCATTCACCAAAAACCTCCCCAAGGAGGCTGGCCTGGGACTCTTATAAAAAATTAAAAAACTAGGCTTTCCTGGTGGCACAAAGCGTTAAGTCTCAGCATTATTAAGCTATCCACAATCACTGCAGCACAAGTTCAATGCTTGGCCAGGAAGGTGACCTACATGGCATAACAGACCTCTCTTGTCCCCTCCCACTGCTCCCCTCAGCAGTGTATTTCAGTAGATCTGCTTGTTCTGCTTCCCACTCTGTCTCTGGTGAATCCTCTCACCTCCCGTACCTTTGGACTATACCCCGGCTCTTGCAGCATAAATAAATAAATTAAAAAGAAACAAAAAACTAAGTACAATTATAATCCTAAGGAGAGTCATCTGTTTGTATTTTCTTGCTTGTATCTTGTTGTCTGCCAATTCAGAGTCAGAGCCATGTCACATGATTCCATTTAAAATTTGGCTCTGGCTGTGCTGTTTTTTCCTACCCACTGCCCATCTGCCTGCTTTATGGGCAGTCCAAGCGCTGGGTAGGGTGAGAGACCCAGAGAACTGAAATATTCAATTGGACTTGATCCAGACAGAGACGATTTTATTATCCTCAATGTCCTGGAAACCCCATTACCTCTGGCTTGAGAAGATTCCAGGCTCTGTCATTATCAAAGCTGTCTGCAGTTAGCCTCAGCATCCTTCTGAAAGTGGCTGTGACCTGAGTCATGGGGAAGACCTCCAGGGAGGTTGCACATGAGGTGCGCACAAAGGGGAAAGGCTGGCTCTTTTCTGCTTTGGTAGGGGTGGCTGAGAGATCAACAGGCTGAGGCCGGCCACTGGACCCCCTAGGTGGGATCTGAGAGGTCAGTAGATGCAGAGAGGAGGGTAAGCTCCGAGGGGACAGGTTGTGCCAGGCCTGACCCAATTGTAACTGACCGGTCCTGGCATTGACTGCTGAGCTCGGCTTGTCACACTAAAACCCGACATTATCTTAGGATGAAATAACATGCTAGGTTCTCTCTCAAAATCCGTTTCATTTAGGTACAGGAGCAATAGGACCAGGTGTGTCATTCTTTCCCTTTGTAAAAGCATTCCTCTCTCATTCGATGAGGAAGCTTCAGGCATACACTCGTGGTAGTATTAATGTCACAAAGTAAACTTTATTTTTGTTTGGATGTGTCGATTAAGACGTTCCATACAAGGTAAACACTTCATCATAAAATATTTAAATTCAAAATAAATAAGTCAGTTCCACTCTACACAAATCTCCAGCTGCCACATATAAATAGACAACATCAGTTATAAATTAAATACATTAAAATAAATTCTTAGGATAGGTCACTCACAGAAAATCACCTGTCTGCTCCCTAATTTTGTTCTGGGCCCTATTTTCTATACAGTACAAGCCTGTTAGACAGTTGTTGAGATTTGTTCATCATTAAAAGAGCCCTTGATGCCAGTCTTCAAATCATGTTCTGATGGGAGGATTGAGTGTTCAGCTAAATAATGGTTGAAAGGTAGAAACTGGCAACAAAAAAGGCCAGAAGCCCAGGCCTCTTACCCATCCCCAGGTCTCCTTATGGCTCATCTGGAGATATGGAAACAGGTTGCTTAGCAGTAAAAAGCATCATATGGCCACAGAGCAGCAGCATATGTGGAACAGCTGAGTCTGAGAGTGGTGATACGACTAAGTCAAGTTCTTCTCTGTATCAAGACATGACGGTTTTCAGTCTGGTGTTAGGCTAAATTTCACCATGGAGTCTCTGGCTTTGTTACATGGTTGAATTAACTAGGCTCCTGAATTAGAAAACAAGCTTTCTGTGGGCAGAGTTGAGACTGCAGGCCACAACTCTGCAAGGCCTCTAATCCCCTCTACATTGCTGTTGCCCACGTCTTTGCCTCAGCTTCCATCTCCACACAGCTTCCCATGCAGCTTCTGCTAAGCATCTGCCTTTAACATTTGAGATAAAAATTATTTTCTAAGCTTTGTGAAATAGATATAACATAGGAATTGAAGCTCGACATCCATATGAGTTAGCTGCTAAAAGGATATCCACTTAAATGCTTTAAATTGGTATCTATTAAATGGGTAAGGCCACCTAACTCATGAGTTAGAGAAATCAGGATAGGTATGTAAAGTACTCAGTGTCATGCCTGGCACATAGGCATTTAATAAATGATGGCAATTATTCTCACGATATCATCATTCTAAGGCTACTGATATTTATTGACACTGGAATTTATGGTAAGTATAATTTTATGATATTTATGAAAGAAGTACAATATACTAGGCATTAGACTGAACCATGTGAAATTGACAATTGCTTTACCAGAGGTAGAGGCAATGACTTGTTGGGATGTATCCTACATCATGTCATAGCCTGTGTTAAATACAATCGATTTATACAACATTCTTTGAATGGCAAATAGTCAGTGAACATTGTATTTTATAGATATTTATGCAAATATATAGATTTATGCTTTGAAATCTTTTTAAAATACACTAGAACACTTTAAAAAAATGTCCAGAGATACTTTCCTACCCCTCAAAACCTTAAAATTGGTTATTAGCATAAGCAACACAAGGGAGGGTGGTGAAGCTGAGAACCTAGTTCTATTATATGGTATCTAGTCAACACTACCTCTTAAGGCCTTGTCTTCTTCTGTAGAACAGGAATTTTTGTGCTTCCTCTACAGAGATTGTGTGAAGATGAGGCGGTATATTCAAAAGTTAGAACCATTATACCAAATCCAGATATTCAACTAGACTATGCCACTTTAGAAAACATTAGCATTCCACATTCAATTTTAATCATGTCTTTTAAAGAAAAACAGGACATAAAAGATGAGAGAACTCATGCAATCATGCGATCATGCAAATAATTATCAAAATTGATCTTGATAATATTCTCAACTGAGCATTAGAAGTACTAAGTAACTATATAGTGTATTGTCATTAAAAATCGTACCTTGTCATGAGCAAATAAACGTGACAGCCAGAAGAGTAAGAACAATTGTGTGTGTACAGATGCTTCAAACTTCACGCTCTTAGGTTTGTACCAGCAATTACATACATTGGAATGATTCACAAGGGAGAGAGAGAAATTGCTCATTTCCTTCCTTGGGAGTCTTTAATATGGGCGGAGAAAATTTGATTCTGGTGTGGTTCTGCTTAAAGACAGGGATTTAAACTTTTTAACATCCTAAGGTCATTTTCAGATCAATAGCATTAATGATTCTAAGAACAGCTTTCTTTTGCCTTCAAGGGAAGTTGTTCTCCTGTGATCTATACCAGCGTGATTGGCTAATAAGGGAGGATGAAGTGGTTGGACCTGTTACTAGCAGAGGTGAGTGTGGCTCAGTTCCAATCTGGAAGTTTTCTTCCCTCTGCAGGGAATGCAGGGAATGTATGGTCAATGCAGGGCACCTGGGAGGTCAGCTTTAGTCGGCCTCAAAGGCGCTGTTGGTAGCTCCCACATATTCTGACTTTTTCTTGTGCCTTGTCCACATTTTCCGGAGGATGCTGGGGACACCGCAGGGGGCACTCCCTGTCAGCGGAAGGGAGGCTTCTGCTCCTTGGGGAAGTGTTGGATAGTCTTCTGTCATCTTCTTGAGATGTCTGGATCTAAAAGGGTGAGAAGGGGCAGAGGGAGAAGCTATCACTTTACTGAGTCAGACTCGTAACTTCTGCCCCTGAGAAGAATCACTACTTCTCAGCTCTACTTCCTACCGTGACATGAGCCCTGTGGTAGACTTCTGGTAAGTAATTGATCAGCCTCAATTTCTTCATGTGCAAGATGGGGATAATTTCATCTAATTTATGTAACTTTGTGGAGCAGGACAATGAGTTAAATCATGAGACATTGCAGGTCTCATTAATAATCATTTCTCTCCCTAATTGCTCTCACTAGATGAAGAATGCCTTTTCTTTCTTCCTATAGCCAGGGTCCAGGAACAGATTGAAATGAGAATGTCTGAACTTAGAAAGAAAAGTGCCTTTAGAACACTTAGCAGTGTGGATCAGAGACTGGCCTCCATTAAGACAGTAAAACTTTTCTTGGCTAATTCTCATAGTTACTTCTCAGAACAATTTGCTACTAGGATTTAATACAATTCAAACAACCTTTTTACCTTTATCCAATGCATTGAAATCCTAATACACTGAGTGACTTGATTTTTAGAATTCTTTCTAGATGACGCATCTAGCAGCACTTTGCATCAGTCTTTCCCTCCCATATTGTCACACAAATTTCAAGGTGTGTGCCACTGACATTGCACAATTCAGTGCAATATCACTTACACATTTCCAAGTATTAATTTTTCTACCTACTAGGTATTAGTGTTTTTTTGAAATGTAACAGCATAGTTTGTGCTAAGTTCTTCACACATCACTTCATTCAACTCTTACAATAACCCCTGAACAAGGGCACTGTTAGCATCTTTTCTTTTTTTAAAGAGGACATGGAGGTTTAACTAAATTGCCTGAAGTCACAGAAAATGATTGGTGTTGCCAGCCTAGCAAACACATCTGAGCCAAGAATCCACACCCTATTCATCCCTAAGCCACTTTTCTGCTCCCCAAAGTATGTAGGTCTGAGGTGAGGCATAAATGCATCTGTGAACTGGAGACTCTTGCTGGCCATCTTCTTAGTGAGGTGAGGGGGTTGCTGGAGGATTTACTCTCCTGATATTTAAGCTGCTGGTTCTGGATTAGAGTAAACAGTAACACACATGGGGTTACACATTTGGTTTAAAATCCTGTACTTTATGCACTTCTTTACCTTTGGATAGAGGCACTTACCCTGTTTCATGAGGCATTTTTGGCCTAGTGTGCTGACGGGAGATTCTGAATATGGTCTGTAATTAATTCATCTAATTAACCTAAACCCTTCCGGAAGATGCCTCTCCAGGTCTAAAGGCCAGCATTAATGAAAAGGAAATCATCAAAACCATTTCTGTTTAATCCTAGGGCAATAGTTGATGTTGCACAGGCCCAGGGTTGTTGCCCTCAATAAAAGCTAATTTACTACTTGTATGGATTTTGTTTTAGCATCTTGTGGGGCTGTAAACCTGGCCATCTAGTGCCGGTCTGTCTAAGAAGCAGGAGTGAGGGAGCGCGTAGGGTGGGAGGGAGGCAGCCCTGCAGGTGACAGGCTGCAATGCAAAGGTCTTACCCTCTTGTCAGGACTGGTCCATTCTCTGAGCCTGTGGCTGCCGCCTCCTGGAGGGCAGGAGCTTTCACTGAGATCCGGGCAACAGGAGGAATCTGTTTTGTAAGGAAGTAACAGGGAATGTGAGGATGTAGTCATGTGCCCAGCTCTGGCACTGACTGGAACCATCTGAAAGAAGGGTGGCTAAACCTAGGGCCTCAGACCTCACAATCTGGTGAACATCAGAATCCTCTGAGGGCTTGTTAACACAGTGCAGGTGCCACTCCAGTTTCTGATTCAGCATTCACAGTGGGCCACTATAGGGCAACCTGAGGTTAGCTGCAGCCTCTGTTCTTTAAAACAGGACTCTACCTTATCTATCAAGGTGGCCTTCTGTTACCTGCTCATGTACCTGCAGTTCAGTCTCACTGGTCTTACTTTCCCCAGTGCTCACACACAACTTCTCACCTATACTCAGGTACTCCTTCACTCTGTGCAAAGCTTCAGCTCTGCTGCCTTTTAAGGCCACTTCCTCCAGGAAGCCTTCCTCAGGTAGGTGGTCCAAGTTGGTTTCTCTGTCTTCACAGTACTGAGCACTCACTCAAGTGATAGGTTCTGGCTCCCATTGTTTCTACCCCATGATGGCCCTCTATTTGTTTCCTGTGCTGAGCCAGTGTCTTGGTCCCCAGCAAAGTCACATAACTGAGGCAGAATCTGGGACTTAATCCTGCTGGTGGCCCTCTACAGCTCTCCAAAAGAGGCAGCAAATGCTCAAGAAACATGCACTGAATAGAAAATTAACAGATGGCTTACCTAAGGCTAAGTCCAGAGTCTGCTCAGTCCTTGGGCACATGCCTTGCTTTGTTCCTCTACCCCAAGTGCCATTGAAGGCTTAAGGTTACCACATTCCTGGAATTGCTGGGAAATTCCAGATCAAGCACTGATTAACCAGCTAGTCAAAGGTTGTGGGTAGAGTTACTGTGCCACCTTGTGGCCTCTTGGGAGCTCTCCCTCCTCATCATGCCAACAAGGCTGGGGATAAAGGGTCTCGCACCTACCCCCTTCTTATCTCAGGTTGAAAGGCCCATCTTCCCCACTGCCTGGAGTCCAATTTCCTCTAGGGCCTTTCCGTATTGAATCAGATTTAGCTGTGCAGGTCCTGAATTTCTCTCCTATATAATGGGCCTTCAGTGAACCTCAGAACGCTAGTCCTCAGGTCTTGGGCCCCAAGGAAACTGTCGGTCATACTTCCTCCTCATCTGCTGTATTATTTATTATTACCTCCCCTCTTGGTACCCATGCCCCCATCATCACCCTATCGCATACTAACTCACTCTGCCTCCTAGCTTTAGCTCCCTCTCCGCAAGGGCACTGAGACCTGCACATGGAACAAGAGAAAGTAGTTCACCCTCTTTCCCTTAACATGGTCAGCTGTTTAAGATGTCACACAGCCTTACAACTGTCCCTCTGTGGCAACAGCACATCCTCAGTCTCTCAGGACTAGGCTGGGGCAGGGGTTCCTAACAGAATAGCATGCTCCTTCCTGACCTTTGTGTAGTTTTCCTGGTACATGATGACCAAATGGGGACCCTGGGTTAGAATTCCTGCCTAGACCAGGAGCAAAGTGCTCACACATGTGCCCATTGAGTTCCACAAGGATGAGGGGTTGGCTCAGACCATCTCCCTGGCCTTTCTTAGGTCTCATGTGGCATGATCCATGAATCTTGAGATTAAAGTCCAGGTTGGTGGGACCATCTCAAACTGCAACTCCAGCCCTACTGGGCTTCCCCAGAGGGTGGTCCACATTCTTGCACCAAAGAAGAGACAGATGTGTTTTTCCCAGAGGGATGCTGAGCTAGACCTGTACATGGGCCACTTGATCCCCCTTAGGTAAGGACCAATGAGGGGAGGCAGTGTGTGACTCAGTTTTTTAGGTGTGCAGAGACTGTGGGGGGTGACCTCACTCAAGGACATGACCTTTTGGGTCAACTCACATGTGACTGAGGAGGAAACATTAAAGCTTGCCATGTAGGTCTAACTCAGGATGACCTGGGGGACACCTCTGTCCTTCAGGTGTCCTCCTGAGATGGCAGGTGTTTTATGTTGTCACAAGTCCTGAAACACTCACAGGTCTTTACCCCTGGAGGTGCCTCCTGGAAATTAGTTAAGCATTACCTGGCAGAGGTCTGCTAGGGAAATCACTTCTTTTCCCCAATGTTTGAGATGTCTGCTAGGCCATACTTCTTTTAGTTTTCCCAAGGATCTGAGTTTCTGGCAAGAAAGAGAGCAGCCACCAGGGGTATGCCACAAGCTGGTAGACTATCGGAACAAAGAGCTATCAGGGATGCTTTTCTAATAAACCTCAGCTGAGAACAAAGGACACTTAGTCTCTCTTCTTGGCACAGACAAGGCAAGAAGTTTAAAGCACAACAGATACAGTTAACCAGGCACATTTTACTTACCAAAGATTTTCCATATGCTCGATTCCCACACAGATTTGATGATTTGGGTTCAGTAGTCCCCACTTTAAAGTAGAAAAAAGAAGATATTACTCAGTGGTACTCTGTGTTCTGCCTCCCCCTAGTTTTGCATCAATTATCTTGTTAGCTAATAAGCACACGCAGGGAATTTCTAAAGGCCATTGTACCAAGTAGCCAAACCAGGCAGCAGGATTAGGCAATGAGACAACTGCCTAGTGGGTCACCTGCACCCCAGCTCTCTTCTGGGGTGATTAGAACTAAGGTCTAATAAGATTACTTTTGGGGAAGCATTTGGCACAGTCAATGCTCAGAGAATGTGCCTTCAGTACCTCCTTCCTTCCTTTCTAAGATCACAAGAGGTGATCAGTTAGTCAGTCTTCATAACTGGGCTCAATCATTTAACCTTTGGTTCCTGGTTGCACCTCTGTGGAAGTGAGCAGAAAAGTTCCATCTGCAGTGAGGAATACGGCCTAACAGCATGGATGGGGATTACCAGAGTCCTGAGATATGGGCTATGGAAGAATCCTCTTGATAGTGCCATTACAGGTTTCTCCCACTACCTGAAAGAAGACTGTTCCTATTTGGTCATTTGTTGGGTGTAGGAATGCTCAATTTTTTTCTACACAACTTAATGGCAATAGTGCCCCAGACCCCAAAGATAACTTTCCAAATCATACCGAGTAAGAACATGTCACCTTTGAATAGCAGGGGAAACTATATTCCTGATGCCTGAATTATTTCTGAGAAATTTCTACCATGATGAAATTTAGCTTCTGAGAATCTAGGTGTTGAGCTGAGGGAGCCAGCTCTGTGTGGGGCAAAGCAGGTTTTCAATATAGTTCTCTCTTGGGACAGATGTTTCAGGATGAACCCTATTCTATCATACTACAGTATATAGCAATAAGTCCCTTCCCTCCATGGCCAAGGAAAACAACATCTTGATACCAATTAAATGAGAAATTTAAGATTATCAAGATAAAGTCATAATGTACAGTGCTCTAGCATATGTAATAATAGCTTATATTTGGAGTACCTGCCCAAAAGCACTTAAAATAAAAAAACATCACCTTGTTGAATCCTCACCACAGCCCATATGGGTATATAGTAGTGCCCACTTTCTAGATGGGTGAACTAAAGCTCTAGAGATAAGAAAACAAGCCCTCCCTGGTGGCGCAGCAGGTTAAAGCACAGCATTAAGAAGCTAAAACCACTTCTGCATGAGTTCGATTCCTGCCTGCCCCAGAGGTGACCACATGGCATGGCAGACCTCTCCTAACCCGCCCGCTGCTCCCCTCAGCAGTGTACTTCGTCGATCTGCCTGTTCTGCTCCCCACTCTGTCTCTGGTGAAGCCTCTTGCTGCCCCTGAGCCTCTGGCCTGTACCCCAGTTCTGTATGTACAAATAAATAAATCTTAAAAAAGAAAACAATTATGATAACACCAAGTATGGACAACGTAAAGAATGTCAAACTGATCTCTTTGGTGGTTTTCAGGACTGGGAAAACTTTTCTTAGGAACCCTCCCTAACCCAGTGTGGGAGGAGGTCAAAAGAAACAGGGAAGACATATAGTGAACAATGTCAGCAAAGGTTCAGGAAAATAGAATATAATATCAGGATAACAACTCAGGGATTCTCTGGGATGCACTGGCAGGGACAAGAGTGCCTTGGGAGGTAGCCTTGGAGAAGTGAGCAGAGAATGGGTTTTGGAGGGCTTTGAGCACTCTCTGGGGTGTGGTTGAGAGTGGAGAGGACATAGTATTAAAGCAGAGAGATCAAAGAGGCAGATTTCTGCTTTAAAAGGACCCTTTGTGGAAGAAGTAGGCTGATGGCTGAGGGCCAAGATTGCTGCTGTAGTCAGAGTTAAAGGAAGCCCCAGGCCAGGTAGTGTGAGTTGGTACCAAGCGGGAGGGAAGAGGCATATCTAAGAAATGACAGTGTTTAGTGTGTGACGTGGCCAGTAAGGACAAGAGTGTAATAGAAAACATCCCAGAAGTCTGCTGAAAAGATGGATGAGTGACTCCTTATGTGAAGGGAAGTGACATTTGAAGGTGGAAGACAAGTTCTGTTTGATCATATTGATGTTGAGGACATCAAGGTAGAGCCATCCTAAAGGGACCCAACTGTCCCAGGCCCAGGGGTGGGGATCCTTTCTAGGCATCAAGGAGAACTGCTCAAGAGCTCATAGTGAAGAGTTTCTCAGGGGAACCTCTGCCTTGAGAGTCCTTGCGGTTTCCAAGAGTCTTCAGAGTATTTTTCTCCCCCATGAGAAGGCAAGAGCATTAGGAACTTTCTCTTATAGCTCAGAAAACAAACCAGCTCCCAGATCTCACATCCCTGGAGGCACACATCCTTCTGATTAGAGGAACAGAAGATCCAAGATCAATGCCAAGCCTTCCCTGTGTAGAAAGAGCAGGGAGTCTGGCTTTGACTCAGAATCCCTCCCTCTCTTCCACTGCCTCTGAAACCTCTCATATTGGGGGAACTGATGGAATTGAATCCATGCCCAGCTCAATCTTCTTTTTTTTGAAACCTGACTGACTAGCACTTCCCCTGCGTGCAGAGCTGACTGTCATGTGTTGGGCAGATTCTCTTCATTTCATAATTTACTGATAAACTGACTCAGTCTAATCTTCCACAAACTACTTAAAAGGGAGGAAAGTAACCCCTAAAACCAGACAGCTGGGAAGATGTTCTTCTCTGGGAGAAAAAGGCATTAGTGAGGAAATTAGGAGATCTGAAATTTAATTTCAGTTCTGTTGTTAACGAGCAGCACAATCTTAGTTTCTATGGTTTCAGTTTCCTCTTCTGTTACTTGGCAGGGGGAGATTGCATTAGATCAGCTGTTTTCTACCTTTAGTGTGCTTTGGAATCACCTGGGGGTTTTGTTAAACCATATACTGCTGGGCCCCACTTCAAAGTCTCTTATTCAATAGTTCTGTGGTGAGGTCCAATATTTGCATTTCTAGCAATTTCTGAGATGATTCTGCTGCTTCAGAGACCCTACGTTGAGAATCACCCATTATATCATTTCTAAATCCTTGCTAATCAATACATTGTCTTGGGACTAGCATCATCTGAAAGCGTCATAGAAAATCAGAGATTCTATCTGAGCCAGATTCTATCTGGCTCTAATTCACTTCACTTTTTTTTTTTTAAAGATTTATTTATGTATACAGAACTGGGGTACAGGCCAGAGGTACAGGCAGAGGCGAGAGGATTCACCAGAGACAAAGTGGGGAGCAGAACAGGCAGATCGACAAAGTATACTGCTGAGGGGAGCAGCGGGCAGGTCAGGAGAGGTCTGCCACGTCATGTGGGTCACCTCCGGGGCAGGCGGGAATCGAACTCATGTGGAAGTGGCTTTAGCCTCTTAGTGCTGTGCTTTAACCCGCCGCGCCACCAGGGAGGACCCCTAATTCACTTCACTTTTAAAAAAAGATTTATTCATTTATGCATACAGGAGCTGGGGTGTAGGCAGGAGGTGCAGGGCGTTTGAGAGTAAGAGGATTCACCAGAGATAGAGTAGGGAGCAGAACAGGCAGATCTACTGAAATACACTGCTGAGGGAAGCAGGTGAGAAAGGAGAGGTCTGCTGTGCCATGTGGTTCAGCTCCCTGGCTGGGGATTGAACTCCTGCTGCAGAGGCTGTAGATAGCTTCCTGGTATTGAGACTTAACCTCTTGTGCCACCAGGGAGGCCCTTTAATTCACTTTAAGATTATGTATTTAAGATAAGTATTTTTTTCCTCTTTCTACATACACATACACCCACCCACCCACTTATATATAGAAACAGAGAACATTATATCTCCTTTTAATTTGCAAGGCAGATTGTGGTTTTCCTAATGTTTTTCATTTGGCTAACATATGTGTATATGTAATCACTCAGCTAGAGAATAGAGCTTGATTTTTGTGTTCTTATACATAAGCACATAATAATAGTGATCAAAGAAACCTTAGCAACCAGTGTAGTGTCTATGAGGAGAGAAGATGGATAGATGAAGTGATAGATTCAGTGGAGACTTGTCAGTTCATGGAACATGTAAAATTATGACCATCCAAAAGCTTTAAGAAGGACATTCTAGGCTTTCTATGTGTATCCTTGGAGTTAAAATATATGACCTTAGGCTGGGGGCATAACAGGAGTGATCTAAATCAGCAATCAAAGTAAAATATCCCAGAGTTCGCTGGGCTAGACCCAAATTCTTGTGACTTGGGATAGAAGTCCCTTTTAAAAATAGTGTTCAAGGTAAAATGACCAAGTTCGTCATTTTCAAAACAGATGCATCCTAAGTTCTTTTTATAGATTGTTGAAATAGCCTGTCGTTCAAATTTAAAAAGGCGAGAATTAAGATGGCAGGATATGAAGAGGCTGTATAACTGTACAACATACATTCTACCTCTAAAATTAAAAAAAAAAAAATTGAGTTTCTTTTGCACCAGGAGTCAGGTCTCTGCTGGTTTTCTCTAACTCAGAACAGAGTGGTTTCATTGCCTCCTGAATCCAGCAGGACTTCCTGTGGAGCAAGATGGTAGATGAAAACATCTTTGCTCATCACATGCCCATATGGGAGTGTTTTATAGATAAAAAGTGTTATGTGCTGCTGCTGTAGGTGGCTGAGAACAGGTGCATTTCGAGCAGAAACCACATAGTCCCCATGCCACAAATGACAAGGACGTCAGCGGGAACACCATGCAGAATACACAAGCCAAGATACACACCCTAGATAGCTTGGGCTCCTGTGCGATGCACTTACCAGATCTGGTGGGGACTTTTGCCTGGTGTGGTCCCTGCTGCCGTGTGTTCTGGACCCTGCTGGGCCTGCGGGCCTCACAGTCACTGCGGTCCCTGCGGTGGGGCAGCAGCTCCAGGGGTCTGGGGGCATAGAGGTCCGACTCGATCACCACCTGCAGGGACGAAAAAGGCCAGTTAGCTGGTTCCTCTCCTTGCTCTTTGGGCCCAGGCCCAGGCTGAGGCCCAAGACTGTAGCTTTGTTGATAGACCTGTACCATCAGGGAATTTTTTTTTTAAAGATTTATTTACTTATTCTTACAGAACTGGGGTACAGGCCAGAGATACGGAGGGTGAGAGGATTCATCAGAGACAGAGTGGGGAGCAGAACAGGCAGATCGACGAAGTACACTGCTGAGGGGAGCAGCGGGCGGGTCAGGAGAGGTCTGCCTCGCCATGTGGATCTCCTCCAGGGCAGGCGGGAATCAAACTCATGCGGAAGTGGCTTAAGCTTCTTTGATGCTGTGCTTTAACCCACTGCGCCACCAGGGAGGGCCCACATCAGGGAATTTTTGAGCCTCTTTAACTCCAGTGAATGTCAGAAGCAGTGAGAAAACTTGGTAGAACATTGGCCAGAAATAGTTGGCCTTTCAGAATGTCGAATAAGGTGTTGCAGGGTATAATTAAGCTATTGGGGCTTTCTCATCAGCAGCCCCTTCTCAGAGTTAGAAACCTGGGCCATCATACCCCAAATCCAGGCTAATCATCAGATCCAAGGGCTGCTGTGGCTTCACACAGAGCAGACTATTTCAAAAGTGGAGTGTCATGGAAATCCAGATCTCACAGTCTCCGTAGCTGAGTGGACTCCCTAGTTTTCTCAGGAGGTTGTAGCACAGGGGCTGTACAATTTTTGGGTTCACTAATTTTGAAAAGAAACTGCTAGCAAAACAGAGTAGTCTCAGTTCCCAAATGATCCTTTTCTTCCACCTTGGAGCAGAGTGCATGGTTCAATGGGTGTATCTGTGAGAGGAATGGCCTCTAATCATGGCTCAAAAGATGGAAGTCCCTGAAAGCCAGAACAGAGTTCATTTTTGGTAATGGCACCTTGCCAAATAGTTATTTTGTGTAATTTATCAAGGGGAAATATGCTGTTTGCTAGAGTCCACCAAAACGGGCCTTAGAAATACTCAAATCATTGAAATCATTTAAGTGTAAAAATTAGATAATGCTGTATTTTATCTTAGTACAGGGAGCGATGAAAGGAATCTCTGCAGTTTTTGGCTCCTGGCCTGCATGTTTCATGCATATTTAGGATATGCATGAATATTTAGGATATTGGGGTAATTCAATCTGGATTGCTTCACTCCTTTGAAGCTGGAGGTTAGGCCCTCCAATATTACACTGAGGCTTCTCTGAGGTCTGCACTCACATGCTGGCTTGCTCCTTCCTTCAGCAGATACCTTGCGAGGTGCCATCTCTGCCAGGTCATGGCCTCGGATTGCATCTGTGAGTGAAGTGAACCCACCTCAGCCCTTACAGTCTAGCCTTTGATGGACCCTTCCCAATGGCCTGCAAATAGCCCTGTGTTACTTTGGGAGGATGCTGAGGCATATAAGACTGAACTTTCAAAACCATAATAAAATAGGGTAATATTTCAGTTCAGTAAAGAAAAATGGGGCCTTTAATAAATATTGTTGGAATTTATGTGAGGACATTGGGAGAAATGGATCCCTTGTCGTACCGTCATACCAAAGTAAATAGCAAGTAGATCAAACATGCTTGTAAGAGAAAAATCAACTGAGTATAGTCCAACACAACATTTATTACCTATAATGGGGAAGTTATCTGTATGTACATAGAGCTCTTACAAGCCAAGAAAGAGGAAAATCAACAGAAGCCTTCAGTCACTAGGAAAAAATTTTGCAACCATGTCTGGGGATGAATGTTAACTAGAATTATTGTGGTGATCATTTCATAATCTATACAAAGCCAAACACTTAAGTTGTACACATGAAACTAACATCAAGTTACATGCCAGTTTGATACCTTGGGCTATCTGGGCAGGGGATAGTCTTTTTCACCTTGGCTATATTGGGCAACCATAAATGTCTGCATTAGTGAAGATTTTAGCAGCACAGCCTGCTCTTTCTTCATGCTGCATATTTATCTACAGCATCAACAAGCAGTTTGTGTTTCCCACAGAGGAACTAAGAGAAGCTGTCACTCTTAGCTTAGAAAATCAATATCTCAAATTTGGCCTTATCTGGGTTAAGAAATTAACTCTTTTCAGGCTGATTCTTCAACCCACACCCATACTTGTTCATTCTGTGCCTTTGAAGAAAGCTAATGATTATTTAGGAACCTTTATAATCAGTTCCCTTTCTCTTCTGGGTGCTACAGAAGGTGGTGTTTCTGTTAGGTTTTCAGCAAGCCTTCAGTGCAGCTGGGAGTCTCTCCCCCTTCCTACCTTCCTCTTAACACTGTGCTCTGCCAGGATATTATACAGAGGACTGGGATTTCCTGGATTAAAGGTAGTTCATTCCTGGACAGACACATTGCCTGGCCTAGGGGCCCTACCTTGAATGTGAATCTCTAGCTTGAGCAGGAAAAACCTGAGCTTCTTCTTTTTTTTTTTTTTTTTAATTTTACAACAGTTTATTTTTACATCATTTTGTACATTTTTTTTTTCCATCTCAATTGTAATCCCCGTGGGTTTCCATCACCAAGTCACCCATGTGCCATAAACCTGAGCTTCTTTACCTAACATCCATAGGGCTCTCAGGTAATGGCCTCCTATCACAGATATTTCTGATTTTATTTGAATATTTTCAGTATTCTGATAAGAGAGGAGGTGTGTTTTTAGATCCACTTTGTAGAAAGTGAAAGTAATCTGGATTTGAAGCTGAAGAAGTTCATGGGGGGAGAACCAGTATTTCCTTCTCTGGAAGGGAAGCAAACCTTTGTAGTCCCTTCTCTGCAGTTGGGGGTGAGAGAAGGGAGGGGAAGGAATTAATGGTGAGGTATTAACTGCTCAGCCTAACATCTGGATGGAGGAGGAGGAGAGGAAATGAGGCTGGCTACTTCTCAAGTCATGACTAGTCTTCAGGGTCTCTTCTCCAGACCCCGGAAGGATGCTAATAACAGGAAAGGGAGAGGGAGAATCCTGGCTGGGAAGATTTTTCTTTCTTAGGTAGCCTGGAATTTGGCTTTCATTTCCCACAATGATGAGGGCACTCACTCCAAGGCCCCAGGCCTGTACATTAGACCCACACCTGGGAATAGACAGCTATTTGGTTGGTTGTGGCCTCCTGCCAGCCTGGTTAATTTTCTGATCTGTAGGACACAATCTGGGCTTGCTGCTGCTGCTGGTCTCAGACAAACTGGTCTGAGAGCAGGCTCTTTAACATCCTGAATAGGGGGTTAGGCTGGAGACCTGGGGGGGTGGGGAAGAGCAGTGTTTGTTTTGGATTTTCCTCTGCTAAATCAGCTGTATCCTGAAAGTAGGGGGATGTACTAGAACAACAAACTTCACTACACTAATTTGGCCTCAGATCAGAGAACAGAAGACGTGCCAGCACACAAACCCAACCATCCCATCTACTGACACCTTCAATTTATATTTCAGTTTTGTTTTTTTTTATATCAGCCTAGGGAGCTGGAAGGAAGTTTGAAAGACTAGTGGGATCTAGGTGGTGGATTCATCATAGTTGTAGGCTGACAGGATCCACAGTAATATTTTTGCCTACTCCCTAATTATATACATAGGAAAACTGGGGCCAAGAGAAGCTATGTCTTCAAGGTAGCTGCTATAAGGGGAAGAGCTGGGATGAGAATGGTGGTTTCATGACTGCTAAGTGAGTGCTCTTTGAAAGACTCAGGGAGATGCCTACATGTAGATAAAATTTTGTAAATGCAATCGATGGCTGAGTTCATTTTGAAAAATGAGGCCAGACGAATCTGATTCACAAGGTTGAAATCTGGAGAGAAAGGACATTGGCTTCCTCTCTGCTGATTGCCCCGACTGTGCAGAGAAGGGACAATGTGCAGCTATGCCCTGAGTTCAGAAGAAAATTTAATTTCATAGGACACTAGAGAGAGAGGACTCGTTGACACTAAAACTGGTTCAGAGAGGAAAGAAATATTTGTAAAGGAAGGAAACTTGACAACAACATGGTAGCCCAATGGGTAAGAATAGAAACTTAAAAGGACTTGAGTCAAAGAAAGTCATAAACTCTGGTCCATTCAAGCAGTGAAAAATGAAACAATTTTCTTAGGCAAGAAAATCAATCACAGTTGCTTTCAGACAACCAAGTTAGCGAAGACAAAAAGGACTCAGAGGAAGTGGAGAGACAGTTGGATGAGGAAACACACAGTATTTCCTCTTTGGGACTGAAATTTCTCCATCTGCAAGAGGATGAGGTGGTCTCCTCTAATTTGAGTATTTTGTGCAGCTGGGGCTGACATATATAAGCAAGGGATGAGTTCGGCTCTTAGGGGAAATCAGAGGAGAACTCAAAGGCTAGTGGGAATCACTGTACTTCCTCACCTTTGATGATAAAGGTGAGGAAGAAAATTTAATTTCATATAAAAATATCTTCATATTTTTTTATTAAAAGCAATGTTTACATTTTCATATACTGAAGTCATATCTTTTTCTTTTGAGTGAAAGTATTTTGGGGAAGAAAAGTATAAATCAGAAAGGTGGCTGTCTTTCTCAAAAATTTCCACTCCTGTGAACCTGAGGGTGTGACTCGGGGAGACTGTGCCCCAGGTTTTGGTAGCTTTGTGTATCTGTTGCCCATGACTTCACCTCCACCACTGAGAACTGCTTCCTTTTAACATTCAAAATCCCCTGAGAAGTCTCTTCCCTAGAATTCTATTTAACTACTAGAAATTATGATTCCATTCTCATTTTAAGAGCTTCCTGACCATCAGTTTGTCTTTAAAAAGCCAGTATTGAGGCCCTCCCTGGTGGTACAGTGGGTCAAAGCACTGCACTAAGAAGCTGAAACCACTTCCGCATGAGTTCGATTCCCGCCTGCTCCGGAGGTGACCACGTGGTGTGCAAACCTCTCCTGACCCGCCCGCTGTTCCACTCAGCAGTGTACTTCGTCAATCTGCCTGTTCTGTTCCCCACTCTGTCTCTGGTGAAGCCTCTCACCGCTCCTGAGCCTCTGGCCTGTACCCCAGTTCTGTATGCACAAATAAATAAATCTTAAAAAAAAAAAAACTTAAAAAAAAAAAAAAGCCAGTATTGGAATAGTGATTCAGAGAGGGATGTTGTCTAAGATTAAATATTCAAAGCAAGAACTTAGTTGAGGACTAAATATTCTTATTTCTCAAATCCCTGCATTATGAGTAATTTGTGCTCCTTCAAATTCAGAGTAATGTCAAGCTCAAACTCTTGACCTAAAGTTCTATTATGAAATTTTCTTAAATTCTACATCACTTACTTTGTTTTTACCCACTCCTTAAATACTTCTTATGAGTATTTTCCTTCGAGACTGTGGGTTTATGATTTCAAAGATCACAAGAAGATAATTTTTTCCATTAAAACAATGCTCTAGCCACCAGAAACTCTTTTCTTGTTATATAAAATGTTACCCAAGACCATTTACAAAAAGACATAAATAAGAAACCCATAAGGAAAATAATATCAACATGATTAATAAATCTATGAAAAGATGAGGAGTCATGTTGGTAAGTAAAGAAAGGCAAATTAAAACAATGTCTTCACCTATCAGATTGTCAAGGTTAACAACACTGATCTGTAACATGTCAATTATATCACAATAAAAAAAGACATTTAGTCAGATCATAGGAACATTAAAAATTTCCATAGCCCCTGTCAAATTGCTAGCATCTTTCCCTCCTCTCAATCCCCCCTCCCAAATTTTTAATGTTCACATCATTTGACTAAATGTCTTCTTTCTTTTTGATTGAGATATAGTTGACATGTTACATTTATTGGTGATTTGGTTAAATTATGAATCTTGAAAACTTCAAATTTAGCTTGGATAAGCAAAAGAACATTTACACAGTGGTGTATTATATAACCATTATAAAGAGTAAAGTAGATGTGTGTAAAGATGTTCAAGATTTACTGTTTAATAAAAAAGCAAATTGTAACAAATCATGTTGTCAAACAATAAAGCATATTATTTTTTAGTATATGGGAAAATTTCACTTAAAAATGCCAACGTTATTGAATGCATAGTATGGGTTAGGCTGTGGACTAAGCACCATGTATTTGCTTCTTTCAATGGTTCTTGAGGTATACGCTCTTATTATCCTCATTTTAATGCTAAGCATTAAAACAGAATGGTTAGGTCACATAGAAAGAAACAAAGAGAACTGGGACTTAAACTCAGTTTGACTCAGGAGACAGCATCTCAGGGTTTTCTGATGTTATATTTTATATCTTCATCATGTAGAACTCTGGGAATTTAAAAAGTAATAAATGTATATAAAAACATTAATGATAAGTCCAGTTAATTACGAAGACACTTAAAAAGATTTTATTTTTTGAAAATGGAGAATAAGATTTTAAAAATTGAGATACTTAAAAGTCAAAACTGTGTTCTATGAAAATTACCTTTGAAATTACAATACAAAGGTGTGTTAACTTTTATAATGAGAAATCTATATATAAAATGAAAAATTCACATTATTATGCTCTCAAGACATGTAAATTAATTTTAAGATAATGCATATGCTTATTAAAGTAGCAAAAGATTATGCAAAAAGTAAAAGTTAATGGTGGTGATATTGGACATAAATGGAAAAACATTGCTAGAAGTTCAGCAATTGTTCAGAATTCCTAATGATATGAAAAACTGTAAGCAGAAATAATTAAGAATATTCACCACTATATTCTCCACATATAGCACAGGGTCTTTCATATATAGTGAGAAAGTAAAAATTTGATGACTGGGTGGCTAGAAAGATGGATAAATTAATGGATGCTTGGAATTGTTCTTATTTTTTAACTCTTAATTCTACTTTGAGGCCAGTGCCTCAAGAAATTAACCCAAAAGAATAGTATTTTGTACAAATGAATTCATTGCACTGCTATTTAAAATAGTGAAAAAAAGGTAACACTATAAAATCCAAAAATAAATAGGAGAACACCTCGGTCAGAGATACTATATGTACATTGTTGAGTATGCTTACATAACAAAAAAATAAGTGTTGTAGGTATAGATATAGATAGCTACTATAAGATTTACTCTCTGTGTCCAGGGGGAATGGTAGAACAGCAGGTCCAATTCAGAGCTGTTTAATGTTTGTTTGGTCAATTATTTTGGTGAAGTGGAGGACTGAGAATTTCACAATAATGACATGAGATGTAGAAAACCTCCTGGTTATTGAGAAAAGGGAGAAAGCAAAGAAACAAGACATTGCTTTTTAAAATGAAAGTTATGAAAGGGATCAAAACTGAAGCTCCTTACATTTTTGGTCAAGATGTGTTGAGAACTTTTGACTCTTCTTCTGCCTGGACTGGACACTGCAAAGAGACAGAAATAGTTTTAGAGAAGTCTTGTGAGGCTGGTGCAGCTACAGGAACAATCAAGAATGGGGCAGGAATATAGAGGAGGGAGAAATAAAGAAGAGGCAGGATGCAATGGCAATTTTAGGTGTTACATGGTCAAGTGCACCAACGTTCATAGCAGCATTATTTACAGTAGCCAAAAGGTGGAAAGAACTCAAGTATTCATCAACAGGTAAATAGAAAAACAAAATGTGCCATATACATAAAATAGAATATTTTTCAGCCTTAGAAAGGAATGGAATTCTAACTCATGCTACAATATGAATAAATTTTAAACAAGTCAAGCACAGAAACAAATCAGACACAAAAGGACAAATGAGTTCACTTGTGTGAGGTATCTAGAGTAGTCCAATGAGAGTCAGGGGAAGGGCTGGGTCGGAAGCTATTATTGGATAGAGAGTTTCCGTTAGGGATGATGAAAAAGTTCTGGAACTGGATTCTGATAATGGTTGCGCAACAATGTGAATGTACTTACTGCCACAGACTGTACACTTAAATGTAGTTAAGTAGTAAGATTTATATTATGTATAATTTACAACAGTTAAAAATACATAGAATATCAACCATAAAAATGTAACTTGGTTGGGAAAAAGTATGTATTTTGTTGAAAATGGAGACACCAAGCATCTCTTTCCTAAATTGTTTGTGTAGGATTTACTTGAAACTGAAATCTCACACGGTCAATACCTTGCCTAGGATGAAAATGACTTCTTGCCTTGTCAGATGGGACATTAGATGAGCATGTGATTACATTTCTTGGATCCCCTGCAGCAATGAAGCCAGGGGTGTAGCTAACAGGCAGAGCTGCCTTTCACTTGGGTGTGAATCCACATGTGACCACTTGCCATTTATGTGACTCAAGCAAATTACTCACCCTTTCTAAGCCCCACTTTCCTTATCTGTGAGACTAGGTTAAGAATGGCATGTACCTCACAGGACTGTGGCAAGGATTAAATGAACTCATCTCTAGAAACCCTTGGCCCAGTGTCTGTCAAAGTGTGAGTTCTCAGGAACTCGTTGTGTTTATTACAATATCTTTTTTTCTCTTCAAGATGAGGGCAGATAGAAGGAATAGGCGATAACTTCTAGAAGCTGTAACATTCCATTAAGGTTTCTCTTTCTGGAATTTTCTCCATTTCTTCCTCTGCTTTTGCTGGTCAACCTCTCCCCATTGTTGCTTATCCCCATGGGAATTATTTTGGTGTTGTGGTATTGCTCAGCCTAGACTTAAACTCGCACTGATGTGCCTCAGGAAATAACTTCTGTACAACTACTTGGTAAAACCACAGCTTTTATCTTTATATTTTCTGTGAATTTTGTCTATGAAATCTTTCCCTTAAAGGGCTCATTTTCTCTCCCAAGGGTAAAAATACACACTTGTCCTCAGTTACAGATGATCTATTTATAGTGTGTGCCTTTAAAATACATAAGAAATACCGTAACATTTGCTATTGCCATATTTTTGGGAGACATAAAGCTGACTTGGCTAAAAAAAAATTGTAGATATTAGGTTGAACCCAATACATGATATGTTAGTGTGTCTTAGAAAGGATATAATATAACATTAATCAGTGTAATAGTAGTTCACATGGAGTTTTACTAGGCAATAGTTTGTTTTCTTTACCTATCACTCCTCACAGAACTCTAGGAGGTAGGTACTCTTCATTAACTGTACTTTCTATATGAGCATACTAAGGGGCAAAGGGTCATTCAATTGATAGTGAAACAAGTCTTACACTCAACTCTCCACTGAACTTGTGTATGGAAAATCTTGTGGTCATGGCATGCTGAATAAACATGGCTAAACTAGCATTTGAAAGAGAACTAAACACGAGTTACTAATCACTGAGTTGAGAAGAGAGGCTTCATTTTCTCTCAGTGAGGGACTTAGGCTTGATGGCTTTGGAGACGGCAAGATGAGGCAAATAGAAAGAGATAGACTTCATTCATTTATGGTCTAATGTAAAACTACAACTATTTCTTTTCTCGGATAATTTTCTGATCAGTGAAATTTCCTCAAATACTGATGAATACTTAGTTTAATACCAGAAAGTCTTCAAGAATAAAAATAGCAAAAGGGAATATAGAATTAATTATTCACCTTTGAACATACTTATTGTTCTAAATATGGAATAAAAATAGAAATCACTTTGTAGTGTATCTAATGGGACTTACTTCATGAGGTGCAGTCCTAAATACTTTATATATTAACTGTTTTATTCCCCATAATAACCTGGCATGTAAGTTCTAGTTCTACCTTTTATAGAAATAAAGACTTAAACTCAGAGAGGTGAAGTAGCTTGCCCCAGGTTATGCAGTATTAATAGTGGCAGTAAGGAAAAAGAATCAGCAGCCCTAGTTGACTCAGGTGAAGTATTTCAATGCTTCTGAAATGCATACTAAGTTTTTTTTTCAAAAAGTACACTTGGCACTGACTTTTTTCTTTCTTTATAACAATTTTAAATGGAAAAAGTACAGGAAAATAAGCATATTTGTGATTTCCATATTTACTTATAAATTATTTTCTTCTTGTGGAAAATAAGTAAACTTTCAGTTCCTTTTCTGTTTCCCTGATTCTGCTTCCCTCCCTATTTCCTCAGGGCACTAGGATCACTAATATTATCTGTAAGGTCACTGGCCTATGTTTTCATACTTTTCTCTAGATATGTATTCATATATAATGTATAATATTGTTTTGAATTTCTAGATTTAATAAATGTTTTTTTACACACATGTAAATTTTCAATCAGTCTTGTTTTTCATTTAATATTATGCTTTGTGACCTGCATCCATATACGTAGATCTAGTTCATTTTTGTTGTCTACTGTGGAGTATTCCATGGTAAAACACCACATTTTATTACTATTCTTCTTTGCAAACATTTAGGATATTTTCAATTTTACCCTAGTAGAATCAGGTTCACTGAGCAGCCCCATGTAAAAGTATTTATCCAGATTTGGAACTGCTGGGTCAGAGGGTCAGCTTTGACTATTCAGGTATGGTTCAGAGTCTCCAGAGAGATTTTCAGCTTCCACATGTAGGCATATTCCTTGTTTTTTTTTTTAGCGTTCTATCTGGCAATAGATACTTAAAGCTTAATTTATGTTTCAAGGGCTACCTCTTTGTGGCCAGATGGAGTCTCTCCCTTCCCCTTGAGCAATGGCCCTGTCAGTGGCTGACACAGCAAGAAAAAAGGAATTATTTGAACAGGGAGTCACAACACCAGCAAACACCCAACCCACTTATTCAAGTCTGACAATGAAGGTGTGGGGGCTAAGCCTGAATTCTGGGGTCTCCCAGAAAGACAGGGGCTGCAGGGTGAGGACAGAGCAGCAGGAAAGGAGGCTGAGCTTCGGAGGGGAAGCATCTAGGAAGCTGACACTTGTGGGTAACTGAGCTCTCACATGAAACCCTTTGGGGATTTGATTCCCTTCACCTGGGGGCACAAGGGCTCACATCACAAACTCACATTTTTTGGGAGCATTAGTTCCAGGTTAAGTTTGGGAGTGTGGCCCCCCAGGCCTGTGTAAAGACAAACCCCAGGTTTGGGCATTATTTGACGACGTCAGTGGACTGCTGGGAGTATGCCTCACATGCCATGGCAGTTAGAAATCATACTTTTGAGCCAGCTGTTCCTCCTTTCAGAACCCACTTGCTCACTGGAGAAGATGAAAGAATCTATTTAGCTGCCCTGGGAATTTTATTTTCATCACTGCTTCCTAAAACAATGACCTGCTGTCAGTTCACTTGACATATTAAAACAGGGAGTACTTAACTACTCTCATGTCTTCCTTAGTGAATTGTTTCTCAGTGACGGATGTTTATTCATGTGCCTACTTTTCAGAAGCAACAACAACCAATATCAAAACAGAGAACCCCTCGGAACTCACAGATCTGAAGGGAATTCAGAGTAAAAATGCACGTGAGCGTTCTCACCCCCCACCTGCTGAAGGTGTCTCTCTCATCAAGAAAACAGTCAAGGTCAGTTTTACTCACCCTTGGAAGGAATCACCGTAGTGAAAACTTCTATATTCTCGTCACTGCAGCTGTAAATCTGATGCATCATTTCGACCTTTTTTCCTCAAAAAGTGTCTGGGAACCGGAGGCCTCTTTCTGAACCCCTAGTCGCGAGGTTTCCTAATCCAGTCTGGCTCGGGGATCATTGTGCAGGTCCACAAAAGACAGGCTGGTGCTGTGATCTCATCTCATTCCAGAGTCTTCACTGCAACATTTTCTAATCCCATCTGTCTTTTTTTTTTTTTTTTATGAATCCTATTATTGCAAACCTTTGATTGAGCGTGGAGGCTATAGTCCCCTCCCAGTCAGGATGTATTTAACATTTTTACTTCGCTGTGTCTGCCGCAGTGAATTTGGAAGTCTTTTGTGAAGTGATGATGAAGTGAAATCGCCTACTCGCCAAGCTTGGCTTGAGAATTTCACCAAAAAGGAAATACGAATTTTTGGGACCAGCAATTCCTCTTTATATTTCAGAAATGAAGGGGCATTTCCTTCTTCCCCTCCCGCCCCCCACAAGAACTAGATATTCAGTAGTTTGTCATGTGTTAATTTGGCTTCCTTCAAAGTTTCTATTTTAAACAAAAGGACTGTTTCTCCCGGAGTGTGTTTGCCTCATGCCAGTAATGACAAGGCTGACATTTCTACGGAGCTTCATGCTCAGTCTCCTTGTAGAATCTTCAGGTGCTGGCAGGGACACAGTACCAGACAGTACAGAGACACTCAAGATGTCTATTAGAGAAAGGTTTTTGATTTTGTTTTTTAATCCCAAATATCCTAATATTTTGGGATTTCGTATTTTGTCCTATATATTCTCTTTCTATAATATCTATATAGCCTATTTATCTATACAAACACAAATAACATGGTTGAAATGTGAATTATGTCAAAGCCATTGTCTTTCATTGCATCATTAACGATTTACTTCTTCATACTGATAATGATGATGATGATGTAATAATATCACTATTATTATTGTGGACATTTATTAAATGCTTGCTAAGATTTCGGAAGTCTGACATCTAATCTAATTTAATGTCTACAACTATCCAATGAAACTAGCTATTGTTTTTTTTTGGCTATCTTTTATGGAGGAAACTGAGGCATGACGAGATTAACTGGCTCAGGGTTAAAATACCAAATTCACAGAAGTAATAGGATTTAATCCCTTACTTGGTTCCAAAAGCAATGTACTTAGTCATTAAATTGTATTTTATTCTTCACTTTCAAAGCCTGTGCTCCCAACTCCCACTTTGAACTTGGAGGACCTGAGCATAATATTTTACACTTGGACTTAAAGGGCTTTCTATAGCAGAAAAATTTGGTGCATTTATATATCAGTTAGTTGTCAATATATCTATGTGTCTTAGAAGTACACCCAGCCACAGAAGAGATCCCTGGGAGGCCATGTTTCTTCTATTTGAATTGGGTACTGTGGGTAGATGTCCCTGGACCAGGGGGACTCCTAACGCAATCTCTTACTTCTTGGAATTGGAAGTTGGGTCTGGGACTAGAAGGAAGACATAAACTGTTAGGATATGGGATGGGTCTCAGGGCTTATGCAGATAAAGTTGAGGAGAAGATCTGGAAGGGACTGAGGCCTGAATGCAAATCCAGCATAAAGGGCTTTAGTTGGGAGAGGGGAGTAAGTATTTTCACTGTAGCCCCCATGTACACATTCAGATGAGGCCCAGTAGGAAGAATAAGGAATTGGAGGTGAGATGAATGTTGGGAGAGTGGGGGGGTGGGTTGTGGGGAGATTGAGAAAGGGCAAAAGGAAGCAGAGATAAGGGAGGGAGAAAATATTGCCCTATATTAATAGTCTTTTATTTCCTGCCTTGTCTCTTCCTGTCATAGAGTCAGTGAGATACCTCAGTTTCCCCCTTAATAAATTTATCCTTTTGCTTAGGTTTAAGTAGGTCTTGGTTTCTTTAGATAGATTTGTGTCTATAAATTTTATAATCTTATCACTCCACAGTGATAATATATTTAGATAATATAAAATTTAGAGGAATATCTAGGACAATAGAAAGCAGTATCTGAAATTATGCTGACAGACTGAAGATAATAAAACCTACAAGTTGAAATTTTAGATAACTAAATGTAAACATCACATTTATAATTAAATCATTTTTATGAAATACAGAATTGGATGACCTGGTTTAGAAGCCATTTATCATAAAGAAATTTGGGGTTTAGTTCACCACATTTTAGCAAGAGTCAGTATTAAAGGGGGAAAGACTAAAAGAAACAAATGCTGTTTCAAGGCTGATATTAAATTGAAATGAAGAATCTTCTGAGGTACTGAGAAATAAATTAGGGTTACCTGGATTTAATCAGAAAACTGGATTAAGTTTTTCTAAGAAAGCTGAAATCTAATCAATTAGATTTTATTGTATTATGTCTAATGAATACACCTGAAATACATAACAAATGGAGCTAATACAGAGAAACATAGCAGAGAAAAGTAACTCTTAAATCATATTTACTTTTTTGAAATATTTAAAAATGATACATGCTTATCATAAATTCAAAAAGGCAATATGGAAAAAAGTGAAATAATACTTCCCCTAATCTAGTCTCACTTCCTAAAAGCAATTATTGTTTATAAATTGGTGAGCATATTTTCCAGGTTTTGCATATGTACTTTAAAAAGCAAAAGGTAGTCACACTATACATATATAAATGCATGTACTCATGTGTGAACATATATTTTTAAATAACTGTGCAGGAGACCATGGCATTATAAGAATATATCAACTTCTTTTTTGGCACATCATCATTTATTTACTTTAAAAAGCATTGGAAACAATGCTGCAAATCACTTCCTATATGTGTATCTTTATAATTGCCAATTAACACTTTTATGAGCTACAGTTCCATTGAGGGAGTGGGGTCACAGTATATGCATGCTTATAAATTTGAAGGACTTTTCCAAATTGCCTCCAAAAATTTTGCATTGGTTGACACTTTCACCAATGGCCTTTGAGGAGTTCATTCCCCACACCCTTGGCAGTACTGTTATTTGTGGGTATCCAAGGATCCTATCAATTTAGACAAGAGCAGAACACTAGATGGGCCTGGGGCAATGGGTATACATCACAGGTATACCTGTGGGATGGTGAGTGGGGGCACCATTGACTGATGTACTTTGTGTTCCAGGGACTGATCAGTGGAATGCTTTGTTAATATTAGGGCCATGGGTGAGGGTCAGGGCTACATCAGTGGACTCACCTTACCTTTAGCCCTAAATCCAGTATTCAGTTTGACCCAGCCTTTTCTCTGTCAGTAAAAAGGCCAAGATCTTTCTCTTAAGCGTCATCTTGAAGCCTGTTCCATGACGCTTGTTTATTTATCAGTGTGGTGTTGTGATGCTACAGTTATTATTCATCTTTAAATTTTTTATGATGAGGTTACAAATCCTCATTTTACAGTTGGGGCCCTTTTACTTTGTATTTTGGAGGGGTCAAATGTTGAGTCTGCATCTTAGAATACTCTAAAAATTGCTGTACAATAGTATACACCACACCTGTGAGTACTGGGGCAACCCCTGTTCAGGATGAGGTTAAATCCAAGGAAGGTAAAGTATGTCCTGCGCTGGGGTCCTTTTCTTGTAGGTTTAATGCTAAGGGTTCTATACTGTTGGCACAAAGGTGGCTATTACTTCCAGTTAGAAATGTAACTTAATAGTTAACTCACAAGGCATTCAGTTAATGTCAGTGGAAGACTTCCTTTATTGCGTGTTTGCAAAGTGCTTGGCCACCTGTTTGGCTAGTGGCAAGTGAGGCTGCCTCTGTGTTTCTTTAACCAGAGACCTCCAGAGTTTCCCCTGTAAAAGCACTAAAAGAAGCTTGCTCTGATGCTGTTCCATGTAGGTTGAAACCTAAGGAATATTTTTGGACTTTATTGTGCATAGGAATCAACATGTGGTCTGGTTTAAATGTGGATTCTGATTCCACAAGTCTGGGGTAGGATCTGAGAGACTGAGTTTCTAAGGAGCATCTCAGAAGTCATTGTTCCTATTCCCAGGATGCATTTTGGAGTTTACTGAAGGAGAGCAGATGGATGTATTAGAATTATAATCAAGTCCCCCCACCAGACTAATGCAGTATGATTCTTGAAGGGCCCAGGCATAAGTACTTAAATATACTACCCGTGAACTATAATATGTAACTACCCTTTAAATGGAGTGAGGTAGTTCACAAATTGTTCTCAAACAGTAGCGTCAGTGCAATCATAGAACTAGTATAAATATTCTGACAGATTCTCAGGCCCACCCTACCACTAAATAAGGGATAGAGCCCAGCAATCTGGTTTAAAAAGCCTTCTGATCTTGATTAAGGTTTGAAAAGCACTGATAAGTAGAAGAAAATTGAGTTCTCCTTATAGAGCCCTCCCCAAGATCTAGATCCAGGGTCCTTTGACTGCATGTCCAGACCCACTAATCAGCCTGGGCTGCATGGACAGGCCCAACCTGCATTTTTTCCAATTCCAAAGATTTAGAAAGGTTGCCAGGAGATGTGGATTTAGTGAGTGAGCAAAGGGACAGCAGCCCCCCAGTATAGATGGACACCTGTGGTCTCCTGGCTTGTTCATTCATTCCATCTTATCAAGCCTCATCATACGCCCAGCACTCTGCTGATACTATTATTGCATGACTATAGGTACCAAACTCTTTATATGTTATCCCTAAAATCAGTCTTGCAAGGTAGCTTATTAACACTATATATCAATAGAAGAGAGCCCCTAACCTGGGCCAGGCATGACTCTAAAACTTGAACTCCCCACTGCTCTACAGAGCCAGCCTTTGAAGTCTTGAAGGTCATCAGGCTATAGGTCTTTGCATTTAATCTTTAGGGGTTTGGTTAGTGCAAGTGGAGGTAAATCTGTAATTTTAGCAGTCATAATATTCTCCTTTCACTTCCTCTGAGAGAGAGCAGCAGTTTCAATCTTTAACACATGCAAAGTAATGTCCTTTGTGTGTGAAGACAATGTTTCTTTTTTTTCCCCTAAAAGATATATTTATTTTGCAAACAAGAGTTGGGGTGTAGA